TAGGAGGTAAACAGTACACCAAGAACTTGCTGCCACTAGATGGCAAAAAACACATATGGAAAGCAACAACGCATTTCTGAGAGCACAGCGAATGTTCTCTTCACTCAGGGGAGTTTATTCCTTTCTCGGGCAGCACAAGCAGGAGGACAACAGGGCAGCACAGAAGCCCTGTCCAAGTATGAACTTTGCCTTTGCAAAGCTGCATTAAGTGCCAACACTGCTTAATTCTCCACAACCGTCTGCATCAAGTTCTGTTTTAAAGTTAGTTAGTAAAAAAAAAAAAAAAAAAAAATTGCAGTTGGAGCCTCACAGGAGGTTTGGGGTTCGATAGAGTTCAGAAATCTGTCTGCAAGAGACTGTGAATCTCTGAGGATAGTGAAAGAGAAGGGGATATGGGGAAATCCTTAGCCATTTGAAAGGATTTACACTGCAAGACTCCTTGTTGACTATGGGACACACCACGTCATTTAAACAGACACTTAAAGAACACAAAATGACCTCATTAATGCTAGGCCTGGGGACAGGCACACTGTGGAAGTCACTTGGGAAAACACTGGCATGAAATGCTCATTACCATGCTGTTCTAAGTAATTACCACTAATTACTTAGGGCGTTATAAGTTTTCCAAACATACTGGGTGTCTCAGTTGAATGAGACTGAAAGTGTTTTGCTAAGGAGGGTGAGTTATGAGAGACTAAACTCCCCTCTCTCAGCAATTGTAAATCCGAAATTAAGAGGCTCCAATCAAGAAAGTATGGAACAAAGAAAAATAACAACCCTTTCTTAAAGGATATCTATGAATTGGCAAAAGCACCAAACGAACAGAAAACCAACTTCACAATAATCCCGCCCCCAAAAAGTCCCCTTCAAACAAAGGAACCAGTTTGATCCCTCTCTGTCCTCTGGCGCGATTCTAATCCCGGCCAGCAGGGGGCGCTGTTGGGTCAGGGGAGGAGCAGAGCCTGCGGTTGCTCGGTGTTGGCCAGCAGGGGGCGCTGCTGGGCTCTGGGGGTTGCCGTGTGGGGGCCCTGGATCGCGGGAGAGGCCGGAAAATGGAGATTTTCCCACCCACCGAGGAGGGGAAGGGGAAAAGGGGAAAGAAGGGCGGGTGCTTTCCCACTAAACTCACGCTGTCTGCGGCTGGCTGTGGTCAGGACTCCCCTTTTTTTGTCAAGGAGCACAAAACTCTACGATGAAATCGGAGCAGATCTGGGCTGGAGACAGAGCAGTGCACAGGCAAGCCGAGGCTGGAAAGCAGTCAGATGACCAGGTTGAGAGCAAAACAGCCTCAGAGCTTTTTCCAACACACACACACCTTGTGGGAGGTGACTGAGCTGTGGATAACTATTAACACGAGATTGGTTAGTAAAAGGAGAAATCAAAGGAAAAATGCTATGAACAACTTATTTATGGAAAAAGATTCAATACTAAATGGGGAATTAAAGGGACGTTAAAGGGATATTATAAAAGTTGATTCTCTCGGTTGCTTCCTCTCAATAAACTGTGCTTACCCACACAGACAGGCCAGGGCTGTCAGGATCTGCAGCAGCTGGTCGGTGCCCATACTTAGCGGGCGTCCCCGCGGAGCAACACAGTCTCGGTGGCAGGATGAGGATCGCTCAACTCAGCAGTCCAGACACCCCATTTTATCAGTTCCACATTACACTACGTAGGGCCAGTACGCAGTATAAGGTGATGCCTGAGTGGCAGCCAAACACTGCTTAATCATTACCTAATGGCAACAGTCTGCACATGCCCTACTTGTGGGGCAAGGGGCGAGCGACCCCTGCCCACATCATCTTCCTCCCATCATCATCTTTCTCACCCCTATGTATGACCTCTACCATTGTGTTTCAAGGGGAGATGTATCTATCTTGCAATGTGTAGCAAAACCAAGGAAGAACTCAGCTCTGATAAGAGGGGATATCAAGCTGACTTGCTAAAAAGCACAATGGACCTTACAATTAGTTTGTGCCATGAAGTTACATTGTACCATACTCTGGCTGGTTTCACATCCTAATATGATTTCTTTCTCACGCCTCTATGCTCCATTGATCATCCAATTCAAAAGTACCCCCCTTACAACATCCTAAACTGCTGAGACACCATGAGTTGCAGAAGCTATAGAGCAATCTTGACATGTTTCTGTAGTAAGGGCACCAATGGTGGTGAAACACGCTGGCTAGGGGAGACTATAAACTAACAATGTTTCTATGAAATAAAGGTCTTTCTGTGTGAAATCCCAGTGTGGTGTATGTCCCAACAACGACAACATCTTGCCTCCATTAAGGCAAAAAGTGAAGTGCCACTTTCCAAGGAGAGGAGGGGGGAAAAAACTCCTCACACACACACACACACACACACACAGCCCCAGAGAGAGCTATTAGGCCGGAATGTAGTTCTGCCAGCCAGATCCTTTGTGTAGGTAATCACCCAAAGCAGAAAACTGTCCTCCCCATTCAACATTCCTCCCCCACATACAGCAGGGGAAAGAAATATTCCGTTTGGTTTTTTAGAACAAGTAAACCCATGACACTGGGGAACAAATCCCCCAGTGTATTTCCCCCCATCTCTACACTGTCATCTCCTTTGAACACTAGGCTGGGCAGTGATTCTTACTGTCATTGGATCTCTGTGAACACAAACAGAGCTGTCCTTGGGGGCTGAATGACTGCAAGGGTCATAAATTAACATAGCATTAAGGACTTGTGCTACACATCCCAGCAGCTGTGCCACAAGGAACTATGTTACTGGTAAGTTTCATTGAATCTGGTGCAGTGCTACAGAGCCCGTTCATCCTGGGTTTGCACCTACTAATTTTCTTCACATCAAAACCCCCTTTCCATACTTATTGGGTTTAACAGCCTTTGCAACACCTTGCAAAGCAAAATGACACAAAAGAGCTGGTTATTATTCAAGGATCACTTCCATCAAGCTCAAGAGAGTTTCATCCTAAAAAGCAGGAAGTCAGGCAAAAATTCCAGGAGGCCTGCATGGATGGCTTGACAAGGAGTTTCTTGTTCCAACACAAAAAGGAAACTTAGAGAGAGTGGACACAAAGAAAGATAACAGAAATGTTGTCTGGGCATGCAGGGATGAAGCTGATAAAGCTAAAGCCCAAATGGAACTGAATCAGGCCAGTGGTGTCAGAGACAACAAGAAGGACTTCATTAAGCATGTAGGTGACAAAAGGAAAACCAGGGAAAATGTAGGCCCATCACTCACCAAGATGGGGAAACTTGTTACACAGGACAGGAAAATAGCAGAATTACCGAATGTCTTCTTTGCCTACGTCTTTCCTAGCTTTTCCCAACCTTTGGGGATCAGGACAACTGACTCTAGGAAACCCTATTCCAAAGGAAGACTTGGACTAGAGCACCTTAGTCTTTCTCTCTGCCCTTGATCTGAGTGCAAATGAGTCTGGCAGACATCTTCAAGGCTGAAAGAGAAGCCAGGCCTGAAGGCCGAGCCAGAGCTCTCCTCTGCTCCTTTCAGCTCTGCTCGCAGCTGCACCCTCAGCCTGTCCCAGAGGCCAGGCAAATGTGTCTCCTTCCTCCGGGAAGGCTTGAAGCACAGTCGTGTTAAGATCATAGCCTCCAGGTGAGCTATTGCTACTAATCAGTTGCCAGACTCTTCCAGTGCTTTAGAGCCATCCTCTTTGTGTTCCGGGCAGAAGATAATAGTGGGTGAGCTTCTGGTAGCCCTAAAAGACAGACAAATCCCTGATCCTGTGGGAAGCGGACCGGTTTGTAGCCCACAAAGAAAAAGGGAAATTTCTTCAGCCTGCTTGCAGTGCATTGTAGCGTCTCTCCCCTGAGAAAGCTGGTGCAGAACCTCTGGGCCTTCACTTTGTGTTGTCATTGGGACAAACTGGGACGAGACGTGTTTGAAAGTTTCTTCCTGCCTGCTGTGTGCTGCCCATTGGCTGGTGGAGCAGCAGAGCAGAAATTCACTGGTGGCATCTGGCAAAGCAGCAGGTGACAGCAGTTACGAGGGGGTGGGGGGCTGAGGTGCCTGCTCTTCAAGAGGGACGAGAAAAAGGAGTTGGGGAATTGTCCTGGTGTGGTATATTAATATAATATAAAAGACACGACCCAGCAGCCAGTTGGCAAGCAGTCAAATCTGTTTATTTAAAAGAAAAATGCCTCCTTATAAACCCTCTGGAGGACATGTGACCACCCGACCAATGACAATACAACACACACTGCTCATGTGCCCCCATATGCTGTCCAGGGACTTCAGTTCCCAGAATGCTTCCCTCCCTATTCTCGGGACATCCTGGAATTCTGGCATGGCAGGCCTGGAGCACTCAGTGGGCATTTCTTGAGAGCTGTGGTGGCCCCCACCTGCTTGGGCTGGGATCCCACTTCATCCTGAGCCTCATTTCATGGAAGTGTGTCCAGAGGCAGCCCAGTTCCAGGCTGAAGCAAAAAGCCAGAGCGGGTGATGCGGGAGCTGCTCCAGCGCCTACCACAGCCTCCGGCCCAGTGGGAGCAGCCCGGGCCCTGCCCTGGGGTGCCCTGAGGCGGGGCAGTGCCCACTCCCGCCGGCCGCCCTCACAAGGCCCAGGCCGCCTCCTTCCCACAAGGCCCAGCAGGGCCGCCCTCACTCCTGCCCCGCCCTGCCCTGTCCCGCCCGGCCCCACCCTGTACCGTGCCCTATGTCACACCCCACGCTGACGTGCTGAACCTTCCACCAGCCATTGTGACGCCACAGGCACCAGTCGACCACGGCTTTGTTGTTTCCTGCAGCCGGCGCTCAGAGCTGCTGTAGCCTCTCGGGGAGCAGCAGCACATCCCGCTCTGGGAGCATCTCGCGCCTGCATCGCCGTCTTGGCAGCTGCAGGCCACGACCACTGCACAGGGCAACCTTGTTTGCCTTGTGCTTTATACCCTCTGCCCGTCCTTATTCTCACCCTTGTCCCCTTTGTCACTCTCACCCTACACCTCACCCTCGTTCCCATTCATCATCCCCACTTGGCTCCCGGCAGCCCACCGTGGGTTTCTTACCCTTCCTGCTGCTGGGAGCTCCAAGCAGGGCCATGCCGTGGCTTCTCAGCAAGAAGCGACGGCAGTCGCCCTCCAGCAGCCCCAGTGGGCAGCCCTGGGCTGCCACCAGCTCCAGCAGCACCTCCCAGCTCCGGGAGGAGGGGCTGGGCAGGCTGCACCGCGCGGCCGCCCGCGGCGACCTGGGCTGGCTGAGGCACTGGCGCTGGTACGTCAAGGTAGTCGGCATCGACAGGCCAGACCAGGAGATGCGGTGAGTCCTGGGCCACGCTGATGACACACCTTGGCTACTCCTGAGCCAAGCTGCAGTAGTCCTGGGCAGCCCTCTCTTAAGGACAAGGCTTGAAAAGTGACATTTGCCCTGTCAGCTGGGAGAGGGAACTCTTGAGCTTTTCACTGCTTGGAGCTGCCGGCTGGGCTCCAGCGCTGTTGCAAACCCGCCCACCTGCCGCTTGGCCGTGGTCTCTCTGCAGGGCTTTTCTGCAGCTGCTCAGCTCTCACCTCTTCTCTTCTGCCCTCTGGCTCTTCAGCGCAGGCCTGTAACAGCAGCAGCAGCAGCAGCAGGAGGAGCAAAGTCAGAGTAGGGTCCCCAGGGTGCTGGGTAGAGACACAGCTTGGGCTCGTCCTTTGTCTGTCTGGGTTAAGAGTGTCTGTTTAATTTTTAGGACACCTCTGCATCTGGCTTCGGCCAATGGCCATGCAGATGTCGTCAGATATCTGCTAAGAAAGAACAGCCAGCCCAACCTCGCTGACAGCTTCAAGAGAACAGCCCTGATGAAGGTGTGTGGAATGCCTTCTGAGCTTGGAGGTGGGGCTTAGTGCTGGTGTGTTAAAGGGGAGGTGTCTGGCAGGATTCCTTGCACTGCAGGGCCATAGAAATGCTCCTATTGCAATGGGCACAGCATAGGCCTCTGTTAGCTCATCTTTGAAGATGGTCTTCTATGCCAGCACTCAGGAACTGAGGGAGCTGTGACAGAGGGGGATGGAAAAGTTGGAAGTCTTTCCCTTTTGGTGTGTTGTTCCCAGGCAGTCCAGCAGGAGCAGGAAGAATGTGTTGCTGTTCTGCTGGAACACGGTGCCGACCCCAATCTGGCAGACGCTGACGGCAACACTGCCCTTCACCTGGCTGTCCTCTCTAAAAACACAGCTGTAGCAGGGCTGTTACTGGAGCATCA